TCGGTGGCAAATCAAATTTAAAAGCAAATTTCAAAATAAATCGCAACATTTTCAATTTTTTTTCGTCTAAAACTATCTGAAATTGAAATAAATGTGAAGTCTATTATGGAAAATAGCAAGAAACAAGCTCATCTTCTCACTATCTTCACTGAAAATTCAATTTGAGAAAATAAATTTGTTTCCTTCATCAATGTCTTAATAATTTATTAAAGTTAAATGGGTCGCCATAAGCTGTGGTAAAAAATAGTGGGTCCCAACTCTAAAAAGTTTGGGAACCACTGCCTTAATATATATACTTTTAATGGTCTTGTGTAAACTTCTTGCCATAAGTACTTCAGTACTTGTGTGTTACTGGTTTTTATTTAAAAAGCTCAAAGTTATCCTTGTTGTTTTGTGAATGCCACTATTGAATATTGTCCGATAATGTTTTTTTTTCATCAAGTCTTCATCAAATTATTTATGTGATCAATCTGGCAGCCTATGGGTGCGATACCGATATTTATGAATTTTGTTGTAAAATTCTTGTTTTGGTCATGTTTGACAAGAAATCAATATATGCTCTCCACATATAAAGTTCATTAATCTTGGATCGAGATAATGTTATTATGTGTTTTTCTTTATATCACTTTTGGGAATGTGGCCAGCATTAGAAAGTGGAATACCGAAAACAATGAAAACCGGCTACAAATATATGATGGTATGCTAACTTTATGATTATCATGAGGTATCGTATAGTCATAGTCAATTTTATTTTTTCAAACCAGCAAAAAAATATCATACATAGTTCAACACAAATTTGGAACCAAATTTGGTTATCGAGCTGCGACACTCAAGATTCGCATCTAATTTGATTTGGAAGCTCGGAAGTTGGGTTTTCAGAATAAAATGTGGGTTGGGCACAGTCTGAATAGCTGACTAAGTACGATTGGTTAGCTGCGAGTCGGCAGTCGCGTTGTTAGCAAGAATCGTTTCGTTTTTGAGGTCTTATTCGGACTGAAGTGAGACTTTTTAACCCTGGCGCCGAGTACGCAGCATTATTGCGACATACTGGCGTGAAAATTGTTTGCGAAGTCAGACATGCTGCTCAAATGCGTTGCGTTTGTCTGGTTTGCTGTTGAGTGCTATTTTTTTAGTCGGAGTTTCGCAGCGTTTGTGGTTGTCGCAATTAAAAAATCAAAATTAAAAAGATTGACAATGATGGGCCGCCTCATTTTGGTCACTCCGGCATTAAACGCAACCAAAATGGAGAAGACCTGGAGAACGAGCATAATTTAAGGACAAAGTTCGAAATGCACAATTAGGGTGCGAGACCGTCCACCAAAAACAGCCAAAGAACACAATAAAATAAACACACACGATATAAAATCTGGCAATAAGTTTTAGATGCGAATAATGACAACTTTACACACACAGCAAACTGTGCGCATCGTAACGATGAATGAGTCTTTCCACACTCATGAACTTGGATGGCGGACATCCTAGCCATGCAATCCAGTTTATTTCGGCATTCTGACAACCAATGAGCATATATACAGTGACAACCAATTAAACAAATCATATAACAGAAATGCCTAGAAACGAGAAAACCTAAGAATAAAGTTCATAGCGTGTGTGACGACCCTTGTTTTATCTGTTAAATGCTGTCATGTGATATTATTGTCTATTTGGCTTTGGGGGCGCTGTGACACTGTCGGTTTTGTTCTTTTGGGTGTGATGTGGTTGGTACCGGTACAGTGTGGTTGGTTTTTAGGTTGGATTCTGGTCATGAGTGTCTGTGGGAGTGCCTCGTGTCTCTCTTTTTGGCGAGAGCACGCTAGGATATCTTCTAAACGTAATATTTCACGCAGAAATAGAAGGAGCCTTTGAACTCGAAGCAGCGGGGATGGGGTCCGCACTCCCTGCTAACAGGGTTTTTGATGATGATATGGACCCACTTCTATCGACTATGATTTCTTCTTTTAAATGGACTAATGGATGGCATGTCAAGGCTTTGGTCAATAGCGTGCCTGTTTTGTTTTTGATTGATGCTGATAAATGCTGTCATGTGATAATATTGCCTTATTTGGTATTTTGGCGTTGGCGCTGGCGCTGTGACACTGTCGGTTGTGTTCTTTTGGGTGTGGTTGGTATCGGTATAGTGTGGTTGGGTTAGATTCTGGTCATGAGTGTCTGTGGGAGTGCCTCTGGTCTCCGGTGGGTTATCAGGGATGTTTGTTTGTGGTTTTGTGACTGCGGGATGGGAATTTGTTGGTTGTTTTTTTGCTAGACAGTAGGTTGATATTATTGTTTCAGTACAGTGCCATTACAGGTATTTTAGTGTTGTATTTTTGGTTGTTGTCAGGGAATTAGCTATCATCAGTACTGTTCGAAGTGTTTTTATTTTGTATATTCTGTTTTCTTGCATTGTGCTGCCTGGTACTTGTCGCTTTATTGTATGCTTGTCGTTTTGTTTGGAGTATTTGGTTGTGTTGAGATTGTTAATTAATAAATAAAATAGCATAACTTGAAGTGACTATTAAGAGGAAACTTGACGTCAGGTCATATTGGCAGATATTCTAAACTTGGACAATTATTTCATAGACTGTCGGTACGTTACACGTGTAATGTGCGTCGCATGTTTGTGATAGAAAATTCAGGCACGCATACAAGAAGGGATGATTGAGCCAGTTATTTTGTTTCCAGATACATGAACTCGATGCCGTAACCGGTCTCGGCCACACCGTCGAACAAAGTCGCCTACATAGTTTAACACCCTACAACCACGTCAACGCATTTGGGCAAAATGAACCATTTCACATTGAATAAAAGCATTGATATACATATATATATCATTATTCTGATGACTTGTTTGGATTAATTACTCCTGAGAACTTTTGTAGTTCATTTGGGCAGATCCGATAGTTTGTATGTATTCTTATTGTTCGTCTAAAATTGCATCAACTGTTCTGTGGCCATAGTTCTGAAATTGGATTCACAAGAAGATTTATGTATGACCAGTTTCAATCTATAAGTCTCTTGTTCCATCGTCAATAGCACGGTCAGAGTAGCGTGAATCTTACTGCGATGATATTGACACCAAGAATGTGTGACGTGAACCTTTCCAAAGCATAGCAATTGAGGAGCGAGGTAGAATTTAACCTGAAATTGGCAGCGGTATAACAACTGACCAACATCGTTACATCCCTAGCATTAGCAATCCTCTTACCAGACAAGATAATAGTTCCTAATCTTTGCTAAAATCAATCAACTGTTTTATGCGAAGTGACACCCTGATAACTTCGAGAAACTGCAATTCATCATGATGGTAAATAAGGGTGGGCAAAATCGAATATTTTTTTCGAATCGAATAATTCGAATATTTTCAACGAATACCGAATAGTCGAATAACGAATATTTTTTATACACAACAGGAGGTCCAGAACGTCGGTCGATAATCCTCTTGGAAATTAATAAAGACATTGAAAAATCGGCTACAAAGCGTTTTATAACTGGTTAATTTCGTCATAATCGCTGAATGTTTCTGTCACCGTGACCGTTTTTGCGGCGATATATAATCTATATACCGCCCTTTCTGTTATTTGCAAGTATTAATTCTTTCGGGTCGGCGTTTAAGTTTATATTTTGGGTTCATCCGTGTGTTCACGTCGGCAACAGCTGTTAAAACCATTAGGAATTGATTTCAGAACCCAAATTAAAAATATTCTAATTTTTATCATTTGCGTTGACTTTCCTATTACTTATCAACGTTTGTAAATTTACCATCACATTAAGCGAACGATAATATTATTATCGATACCGGGTTGCAGATATTTATTAAGACAATACCGTAATTAACTTTGCTATGCTTTTCTATGGTGTCTATGTTACTTTACAGATAAACCTCGCAAAGCTGCGATTGCGTCAATCCCGAATGTTGATTTAAAATAGTGACTGAATAATTCGGCAATAAAGGCATTTCTGCGTGGCCATTTGAAGACATGATGTCAATAAACAGCGCTTCTTGAATAATAATTTACATATGCGACCTAATGCTGAAAAAATTGCGCTTTTGTACTTTTATGCCTAGTAGATGGCCAGGCGCTAATTATAACTAACTCTTTCAAGTTCCGACGTTTTCTTTCAACAAACCCCGCGATCATTATAGCTAATATCGTTACCGAGTAATTCCCCATTTTTATTTAAGGAATTTCCAAATTCACTTTTACATCTCTTGACGATTTTGATAATGTCACACCCTTGCACAAATGCTCAAAATATAACGAATGTAATAATTTCCGATGATACAACAATTCGTGAACGAGACAGCGAGCGTTGTTACATCGAAATTCACAATTGATTTTGCGTTATATTCCTTCACGATTTCTACACTCCACCCGCCATGCATGCCTGAGTAAAATGTTTACATTTTCGAAACATTACTTGGTCAAGAATGAAAGGAATCACTAAAGAATTATTTGAAATTACATTAAGAGAATTATGTCCATTGTCCACCCATTTCTTTTCTGGTCATAGCTTGTTCGTGTTATACTATGTATGGTTTCATGCGAAAGTTATTTCAACTTTTAATTTTCGTTAAACAAATTTATGTTTGGTTCATGCATGAAACGGCTAATCACGTGCCGCCAATCATATGGAGTTCAAAATCTGGGATATTTATTTTGAATACCTAATCTAAATTGACGTTTCTAAATTTAGGAAACGGTGTCGGTACCTTTTTTAGCAAAATAGGGAATTGAAATGAACGATTGAAACGCAAAGAAAGCAAATAACACCACGACGCAAAGACAATTTTTCAAATTTGTCGCTTTTGGCTGTTAGCGAGCGTTGTAGGTGAATTCTCGCCCAATTCATGATCGGTCCAGAGACGTACTGTGTTCTAGTGAAGCGGCGCAGATCACGTGGTACCCGATATTCGAATAGTAAAATGCCATTCAATAATTTAATATTCGATTCGCTATTCGAATATTTTGCCCAGCCCTAATGTTAAACTTGAAACAAGGTTATTTTTTCGGTATATTCTTGAACTTGATCTTGTCCATAACTGCAGCTTCAGCAACACATAAATATATGATACAAAGATTCTTCAATAACAAAAAGGCTAAATATTTTATAATTCATAAACTATAGGAGCACATCAAATAATATTTTAAGAAAACCAACAAATATTGTCCAAAGCAAAGATTCCCCTTCAACTTCTTCCTCCATATTTCCAGGTGGTAATGGTGTTAACTTTTCATCTGTGAGGGATCTATATTTTTCTGCATTGTCAGATTCTGGATAAGGTTCTATATATTTCGGATCAATGTAGACACCAAGCTGAAAAGTGTTCAGTTCATCCAGGATATAACCATATACCCCAATACCAATGGGCCTAACTTGGCTTGGGTATATTACCACTTCATCAATACCACAAGTGGTTGATTTCAGGTCATATGATTCCCATGTTGGCTTTAGTGATGAGGATGACACATACAAATCTGCATCTCCCGTCATGGTTTCGAGTTGAACTATGACACAACCTTCGAGCATTAACCTGAAACAAAATGAATAAATGCTTTCGAATTCGTGCTATAAAATGATACAGTAATATAAAGCAATGAAATGTATTCCTCTAGGCCAGGGTGGTCCAAGGTTGTCGGACTCGCGGGCCACACTATAATTTTTTGTATTGTTCGCGGGCCAGAATATTGCCAAGAATAGGTGAATAGTGCAATACAAAACAAACACTTTCATTGTCCAAACACATTGGTCATCATTTGTTTTTCATCAAGCTAAAACCACCAAAAAGTTCACTAAAACGTGCAAAAATTTTACTAAATTGACTGACATATAAGTAGCATTTTTTGTAATACTGTTCAGGCAGATTGCAAAAAAACACCCGGCAGGATTGTATTGGTCCGTCATTACATTCAGCGCCGGAATAGCCATTAAACAATATAAGCACGTGCTTAGGGCACCAAGCAAAGAGGGGCACCACAGAAATTTTAGAGCAGAATTTTATATAGTTTATCGGTGTTTATTAAATTACGAGTTCACCAGACGACTCAAACTTCAAAATGTCCGTTTATTTTTTGTCTTCCAGTATCATATTAACCTTCTTTATTAAAAATAAGCTCTGAAACTTATTTATTGGACACGAAATGGACCTATGAGTCGTTTTCTTAAATTGGTGTTGTTTTTTTCTTCTAGTATTCTGCTTGTTGCTGCATTTTTGTTTTAAAAAAATTTCTTTTCTCTCCAACAATTGAACCAATGAACTATTTACACTATGTGGCGGTTCCACGATCGCTTTTCAAAGATCTAGTGGTCAGCGAAGTCGGGAGTTTTTTGATAAGGTAGACCAGGGTGGTCCAAACCCTGTCATGCTGATACATTCCGTGCGGCTCACAGAACAAGTTTAGCGTATATTTGTATATAATGGTTGAATGTTTTTGAGTTTTTTTAGTTATTTCAACTGGGGTTGAGATCCCAAGATTCAAACCCTTTTTCTATCGCTTTGTGCCTTTATTTTAGTGAAAACACTCCTCTGTTTTCGAGTGTCGGCCATGTGACAGTAGTGACGAAACGCAGAGCCGACTTAACGCTGCGCAGTGCGCAATCCAGTTTTTTTTAGCTAGGTCTCGAAATACCAACTTAGACGGACTTGGTTGGTATTTGACAATGCCAATGATTGCTCACGCTGCAAGTTTTTAAATAACTCAATATAACAATTCGTAATAAAATGAGTGTCGCAAGAAAGGTGACATAAGGAAAACACGGCGGAAACGTATTTCCTTGCCCATCACACAGTGTCTGGTTTGATTTCAAGTAATATCTGTCACGAAAGAATAAAATTTGAAGCGACAATAAACGCGAGATGCGCAAAATACAACAGTAATTCCCGGGAATTAACTTTAAGATAACAGAAGGCTTTATATATATTCTTTAAAAGAACGCTACCCATGCAACATATTAATAGTCTGATTAGAACGGTAAACTCTCGGTGTTTATTAAATTTAAAGTAAGTAAACTCGCGATATTTCCATCACTTTTGGGTTTTCTCCGACTTGCGGCCCTCGAGACCTCCTCAAAAGTTTTTGCGGTCTTTCAACCTAGCAACCTTGAACCACCCTGAAGTAGACTACTAGGTACCGGTAAAATTTCAAACTACAGTTGTGACTTGTATACTTTGGTATTTCGATTCACGTTGAGACTGGAGGCATGAATCTTTATTGCCACACTCCGTCAGGATTAAAGCTCAACCGATATATCGGTCCGATAGTGCGTGTTTGCCGATATATCATATCGGCAGTAAACGGCCGATATATATATCGGCTATATATAACAGATAAAAACAAAAAATGTACTGTTAGTTGTGATTATTTTTAATGGATATTACACTTATGTGCAGGCGCGCAGCCAGGATTTTTAAAAGGGGGGGGGGGGGGGGGGGTTCAAAATCGGAAATTACTAATGCCGTCTGTAACAGTCACCGCGATCACGTGCTCGTTAATAGAGCCGCCTTTTCAGCTTCTGTCGCGTAAAATATTCAATTCATGACAACTACGAGATTCTAAAATGTCCTTACGTATATATTAGTTTTATTGTCTCCAACGCAACTCGCGGTCTCGACTTTCTACTTCAAAATAAAAACATTACTGCCGTGGACATAAAACAATGAGATAAGCTGCCTGATATATTTAATTTTGATACGTATTTTTGCAATTTTGTGACCTCGTTATCGCCGTTAGTAAAATCTCGATATCTGATATAAAATCACGTTTAGTACAATTTTACTTCGTACAATGAAAATAGATATAAAGTATACCAGTAAATCAAAAATACAAATTCACCGCCTCGAAATCCACGCCGAACAGTCGCCGCGATTACGTCACTTGTTAAAAGAGCCGACTTTTCTAACAAAAAATGATTTTTCTCTTGCCCAAGGTAATCAATCCATGACCGATAAGGGCATATTCAAAATGTCCTGCTTTATTAATTAATTGACTTCAATTTAACCTGCGGTTGCGCCGACAAAACAAGAGCCACTCTAAAACACCACGGAATACCGCATAAAAATGTGTGGTAAACTGCCGGTTTATATATTGTTTTGATCCGTATTTTTTCTATTTTGCGAATTCAACAAATTTGAGATGTGCTTGTAACATTGACTCCGTTCAATTGCAATGCTGCCACTCCGATTATTTTTAAAGATAAAAGCTTTCGAAAAATCCGTAAATCTGCTGTAAATTCTCATGGAGTAAAATTTATTTCAGTAGAATAAAAATTGATGGATATATTTCAGATTAATTATCTTATATATCATCACTAACAGGGAAAAATCGCGTTTTCAACCTTGTTTAATGATAACACTAAAATTTTCGACGACAATTTTAAAGTAATGGATCCCACCCACAATTAACCGTGTTTCGATATTAATGGCGGTATGTTCCTAAACAGCGAGGAAACATAATGTGTGCCGTTGGCACACTAAATTTTGCGATTTTCAAAAGCGTTTTTAGACTAGAAAAGCGTTTTTAGACTGTCGCAGGACTCAACAAATCTTATAGCCTATTGTTTACGGTTTTGTTTTCAGTATTTTATATTGTCGATTTTCAGTCAAATTTAGATCGCGGGTTTACTCCTTCATTTGTCTTTAGAACCTCGCCGGTCGCCGCCGATGAACGTATAATAACTCTCACCGAATTCACAATTCCCTGCAAAGTACAAAAATAAAATAATCATCATGTTTATCGTGGCACAAATTTGTGATTTAGAGAGAATAAATACCGACGTAAAGGCGTTTACGGCCTAAATAACACACTGATGAAAACAATCGGCGATTTTAGCTGAAGGCAATTGCACGCTTTTTCAGTTTTCACAATTCCGTGCGAGTACAAAAAATAAAATAATTATAATTGTTCCCGTGGCACAAATTAGAGATTTAGAGAGAATAAATACCAACGAGAAGGCGTTTACGGCCTAAATAACACGCCGCCTTGATGAAAACATACCGCGATTTTAGCAGAAAGCAATTGCACGCGTTATCGGCGACTTTTTCTGTTTTCAAAAAAAATCAAAAGGGGGGGGTTTCGACCCCGACCCCCCTGGCTGCGCCACTGCTTATGTGGTTTATTGTTTTTGTAATTAAATTACACATGAGGGGGCACCAAAGTCTTCAGTGCTTAGGGCACCAAAAGGCTTAATCCGCCCTGATTACATTAATATTTAGTTATCAGGCATAGCCAACCAACCCAGGCTAATAGATTCCTCATTCGATTTTTAGTTTTTTATGAAGTCTCTTCTGTTAGCATATATTCTCGACCGAAAATATAGAAACCAGTTAACAATTTAGACGTGTCAAGCACATCATTCAACTTCACTAGTTGCCTCAGCTAGCCATAACACTAGTCAATTCAGTGACATTAGTGATGCTATGTAACAATATGACAGAAGATTTTTCTGGTTATTTTTATGACTAAACAACACCAAATGCGATTTTTAAGTTTACCACTGCCTGAATGCGAAGCGGGCCAGGCCTGGGTTTGGACCACCCTGCTCTAGGCTCTATTGATATACGCGTAATAATTTCCAGAATAAAAAAACACCTGTAATATGAGAAATTCCCACTTCCAACCTGACCTGTAAAGGTCTGAACATGAAGTAGATGCTCATCATTATAATATCCGCTGCAGGAGTTAAAAATGGTTGCAAACAAGATTGAGATCACAAACTTCATTTATAAATGATTATCAATATGCAAAATGCCAAAAATTTCTTTAGAGATTATAATTTTCCTGATAAACAAAAAAGATCAGAATTATCAAATATGAATAAAATAAAGTATTCTAACAGCTTATGATTTCACCAATTATTATACTAATCTTTCTGTATTGGACAAAATCCTATAATTCACAGACTTTCACTCAATAACAAACATGCTTTATAATTATTTGAATGATTTCTGCCAGTGAGTTTTTCATGATATTTGATAATTATTCGCAAATACGTTGCTTACAATTTTTGGGTCTAGTTTTAACTTGTCAACCGTATCCTAGTGGACAGAAGTAGTCAAATATGATTATTCCTTTTAGTTACACTTTAGTATTTCCTGAAATATCCTAACTGAATTTGCTAAATTCTGAAATTTTATTATTATTCTGTAAATATTCTGTAATTCTTCAATGCAAAGAAATATCATTCTTTCATTAAATGACTATTACATCATAATAGTTTAACGTTATCAGTCAACATCAATATATCTATTGTATTGCGCCCCAGATATTATATGGACTATATATGGACTATTATATGAACACATTAACATGACAAAAATGAGTTATGTAAAACCAACTAAAGCATATCTTCACCATTTAAACATAGTCTTCACATTAAATACAGAAAGTCCAATTTTTTTTTCTTCTTTTTTTTATAGATAAAATAATAATATAAATCATTACATACAGATGAGACAGAACATATTCCATATTAAATATTGAGCATTTGTATCCATATTGTAGCATATCCGATGTAAATCCCATTTGTTGTCATCATCAATTATATATTCCATGATGCCATTTACCATTATTTTAATTAATGCATGAAAAAGAACATTTTAAGAATTAGTTCCACTTCATTACGATAAACACTTCTAGTCATATTTATATATATTTGCATAATGATAAAGTTCTTCCGAATAATTAGGTAAATTTCTCAGTTGTTCTATATTTCTCCTACACTTTATTTTATTATTTATTTTTTAACCTTCAGGCCAGTGTTTCCCAACATTTGAATCGTGACCCAAAAATCGTTGGTATTTTTTATAGACCAAGACACATTTTAAATTTAAAAACGCTCAAAGTAGTTTCTTATATTTTATTTCATTCACGATTGCAATATGAAATTCTTAGTAGGGGATCAGCAGCCAAGTCTTCATTACAGCCAATTCAAGTTTTACAAAATAAAATACTTCTGTAGACTAGGCTACTTAGGTGCATATCATTTTCCAGTTTTCAGAGAACAAACCTTCGACTTTTCTTTCAAAATGAAATTTTACAGTTTTCATAGATGCATACCTTAGAATTTGCCAAATTTATGCATCGGCATGAAAATGGCCTTCTTCCCCTGCTTTTAATGACTATTTTACTCATCTAAATGATGTGCATAAATACGGTACTAGGCTAGATCCTAGAAAATTAGATCTTATTTTACACCGCAGGTTTCCACTGATGTCTGAATGTTGGGAAGCGATCTTTGAAATATAATATAAGTTTATTTCGACTCCATAATCAGCAATGGACGATAAAATAACTACAGAAAGATGTTAATGAACGTGAGGTGGAGCGGTCGTTCACGTACCCCGGTAACCACAGCCCACAGGTCGTTTACGGCTTCCTCCACCATAAATTCCATGCCTCCGAAAACAAATAACTGGCTAACTAATCCCATACCCGACCTGGACCGGTAACCGGACGAGAGCGAGAGGCCGTACTTTGCCAGTACGATTGAGCCGCCTTATCGGCTTCTTCTCCCCCGGGATAAATATGTAGCCTAAATCCGTCCCTCCTCAATACAAACTACTGAAATAGGCACACAACGCAATTTATTAGTATTGCCGATACCTAATACTAAAAAGCCGTAGGGACCTTACAAGTGCAATTTCACGAACTATTTTTTTTTGCGGCCTCGAACTACATCACTTTTTGCATACAACAAATATTTTGATCTGATCACCTCTGTGAAGTTAGCAGAAAATCACGAAATTGGGGCTGACAGAATCGCAGAAAATTCCTACAAGTAAAATCAAATGTTCCCAATCATTTTGTGCATATTTTGAGTTATTTACCGATAGCAATGGACCTTTCCCCGACATCAAAACATCCGTATTTTCAATCAATCTTCCGGCCTCGGTACCCTTGATTGCATCAGCATGACTGTCTACTATTTTTTGGTTCGAAATAGCAGTTGTGACCTGTACAGTACCGTACCTGTAAGGTGCCTGCAACGGGTACAGCCTTTTAGTATAGTATAGATATATAGATTTCGTGAACGTGATTTGCAACATTTGTGTCTTTTCCGAAGCCACATATTGAATGCCAAAAAGCAATGAAGTGGATAAAGTAATGCAACAGGCCTCATACTCACAGTATATTCAATCTAGGAAAAATCACCGGAAATACCTTCGTGTGTACCAAGGTAGGCCAACATAAATATTGTTTTCGATACCTATGATATATTCAATATGTTAATTCCTCTATGAAATAAATTTTCATACAAGCAACGCGTTCCATCATGCATTTTCATGGAGGCGATGGACCAACTGATGAATACCCTGACCCTATATCAGATTCTTGTCGCCCAACAGGAAAGCACCAACAAATTGTGAGGTAGGGATTACTTATACCATAATTTAACTTTGAATCATAATTTAACAGTATCTGTCACCAGATACTTCATTTGATACAGAGACATGCGAATCTGACGAAAGTGAGAAAGGATTGTCAGGGATCCAACCAGATCTGCCCCCAGACTCTTTAGTTGAAACTACCTCAAGTGCCGCTGATGAAAAAGACTGCGCTTTGTAAGACAGCAGAAAAATGAAAGCAAGCATCATCATCATTTTATTTTGGTTCTCTGGCATAAAACAACACAAAAAGTCAACATACAAACAAAATGCAGAGAAAAGTGGATGTCGAGCATAACTTGAAATAGATTTCAAAATGTACACGACTACCTACCAGAAAAAGAAATAATAATAATAAAAGGGCACGAAAAAATTAACAAGATTCAGAATCGGAACTGCAACGTCACACCAAGCTGCTCCTGATACCAGAAGTTGGCCCTGCACTTGGTAGTGACTGTGGTGTGTGATGAATATACTTATTTTGTTAGGTTGTTTTGCATTTATCACTGTCATATAAATCACAACTTGTTCATAATCACCTGATAACTTTAGAACCGAACCAAGTGGTGGGTGTTTGCCCATCTGACAATGGGCTGACTATATAACAATGAGGTAGTGCCCAGTGAGAGCAATTCTTCCATATTATCAGGAGATGAAATCAGGCAGCTTTAATAAAATAACTCAGACGCTCCATTGCTTTCATGGTTTTTGTTTGTTGTGCCCAAAAGCATATATCTGGTGTGTATTTTTATTCCTATACAACACAATATCTGCAAAACTGTATAATTTGTAGTAATTTTCTTGGATTTACTTGCTTGTTCCTTTATCATATATTTTTTATAATCTGTTATATTCTATTTCTACACTGAATGAATAAACTATATTGTAAAACCTATCAGATACCCGACTGTTTTTGGTTTAACCGGCATGATTGGAACTCTGGCTCGATCTAACTTCGTGGGATTAGCACCAACTACAGACGACAAAACTGTTGGATCTATTTTGTTCCCTCCAATAGGTTGTTACCAATGCTGGGGAAGGCTTGTACATGCTTGGCTCAGCATGAAATCTTTTATTCCCCTCAATTTCTTCTGTTGGATAGTCTTGGTTAGTTTATTTAAACCATGTTTATCACTATAACATTATTGGTCTTGTAATTTTATGTGGTATGTAATCGATCATAATACCTCAATAAACCTGTTGAATCTAATCTTTCAATAGTATATTTGCACCCATCTTACTGAGCTAATAAATCTGTGTTTCTGTGATACGACATAAACTTGAGTGCCCTCATCGTGCCTGGCATGTACAAATTGCATCAGAGACTTGGTGATTATCCAGCGACACCACTATTTGAAGATGATGTGGTGGCAGAGACTACTGAACTTATCTATAGCACTTGGCTTTGAAATCTAGCGTTGAATCAAGATGGACGACTGAACCATCATGAATGAATCTGAAAAAAAATATTCACCTGTTCAAAATTACAGATTTCTGTAGTTTGTGAAATGTTTCAAAGAATGTATTTAAAATCTTTTTAAACTGCCTCTGCATTTCATTTGTTTCTATACTAAACCCACCAATTCAGCCCTAACTTGGACGCTATCTATCAGTCTATGAACCATGGGATATGGTACCGGTTGTCACGCAGGTCTCCCAGTCCTATCACCACCCTCTGACATTCTTCAACCATATAAGTTTAAATATTACCTTTCAATGAAAAGTATTGTATCCTTCTCCTGCTGGGGGAAAGAAAGGTTCTTGGAGAACCAAGTCATAGAAAAGTCATCTCTGAGTGATTCCATATTTGTATGTTAAATAAGCTTTTAGAACTAAGTTAGGTACTGAATAGTGCATGATTGCCACCAGGTAACTATCTACGTTAACGGCAATGTGAAGGCGGAATAACCGTAATAATGATCACTTGACAATATGTTATGACGTTAGAAGCACGAAAATACCGCCATCACCAGTGAAATGCCATTCGAAGGCCTTCAAAACGAGCAATGTACCACTTTATCGCACTACACAAGCCTGAATATTTGCAATGTTTGTCTGAGCGACCAAAATAAAAACAATAAAGATCAAAGTTCGGGGAAAGGTCCATTAAGGTAAACTATTAGTCATCACACTTTTCATCTTTTTAATATATAATAACACGCTAAAACAACTGTAACAGTCTTAATTTCAAATTCCAAGCTGTAACGAAGGGTTGTTTGAAATTGACTGAATTTCAATATTGACTCGATTTGGAGCAGGTATTTCGCGAAAATCTTCAATAAAGCCAGCATAACGACATATTGAGAGAAAAGTAGAAACCTTATAGATTCGATTTCATCATGGCAGAATAGTAGCAGCACGTTTTGTACTGGCCATATATAATATCAAACATAGCGTATGTTCAGGTAATTTTATGAAAAATATAAATAAATCATAGTTAAATTGGTTTCGTATTTCTACTAAATTTACTAATATGGCCCTGTTTAAGCACTATTTTAAAGTATAATATATTGTATTTCGGTGTGTAAAGCTTGTTCATGTCCTTCCGTGGTAAAATTATATTTCTTATAAGACTTTGTACTTTATTATTGCATATATAAGGGAACATTGTATGCGTGTGGAAACTTTATGCAATGTGTCAAAATATTCTGGCTGAAATTGCTGCTAGCTTCACAGTGGTATATTGATCCTAAGTGTATTTTGTATGTTTCCCGACCTATGACCCCAGGAAAATTTTTCCTATACTGTACTTTACCCGGTATGTTAGTCGTTAACTTTACCATTGCCAAATCTTTAATGCTCTATAACGAGTCTATACCAGGGTGGTTCAAACTCAGGCCCGCCGCTCTATTATCTGTGGCCCGCGTCACATTCGGAGAGTAATCAAAATAATCCTATTTCGTGTTGTTTCATAATAAAATTAATCATAAAAATCTTTTGATATATTGTTACATCACTACTGTCACTGAATGGACTAATATGTTATGGCTAGTTCGGGCAACTAGCGAAGTTGAATGATGTATAATTCATTTTCTGGATTTCTATCTTTTTGGTCGGGAATATAAGCTAACAATATAGGCACCATAGAAACTAAAAATTGAATGCGGATTTCTATTAGCCTGGGATGGCTGTGTCTGATAACTATGTGTTTGCACAATAAAAGGGTTTGTTTTGTATTGCACTGTTTACCTATTATTGGCACTATTATGGCCCGCGAACAATGCAAAAAAATATTTGAGGCCCGCGGAACCGACAACATTGGACCACCCTGGTCTCTTTTGAAACGTGCCGATTAATTGACCTTTGACCTATGCCAAAAACGCATCGTAGCCGTCGTTTTGCGAAACGGAATCTGTATCGAAGTAGTCTACCAGTTGGGATTCTCTTTTCAAATAACTTACACTTGTTTATTCAATTTTTTTTATCAAATTGGGCCATTCTGTTAGTTGCGCGCTAGGTTTGGCCAAAGTGACTCTAATACGGTTATAGTCACTTTGGGTTTGGCGTGCGGCGGTCACTGATTTCTTACGGAAAAAGGCAATAAAATTTAGACCTGCGGCAGCCAGGACTGCAGGAGCATAACATGAAGAAAATGAAATCAACTCAGTAAAATAAACATGCCTAATATGTTTAATCTTGATTCTGTAATCAGTTTTAGCCTAGGCCTACCGGCAGACTAACGTTACCTGAATACGATAAATTAATTCATAAAAACAAAACAACTAGATAGATAGATAGTTTCGAAATAAACTACGGTATCTATCTATCTATCTATCTAGTTGTTTTGTTTTTATGAATTAATTTATCGTATTCAGGTAACGTTAGTCTGCCGGTATTGTACAGTTTCTACGTCGTAGTTACGTAATTTTTGGATGACGCAGTCAGATGGGGGTTAGGATTGACCTATGCAAAAATTGTTACGGTACCGTATGCTACGCTCGCTAGAAGTACGAAACCGCCACCGGTACCGGTACGGTACTTGCAGACTTAAAGTACGTAACTAGTAACTAGGGTCTCGTGTAGTTTCGTACCTAACATGCTTCTAGTGGGCGTAGCACGACAATTTTTTCACGTATCAATCCTAACCCCCACCTGACTACATCATCCAAAAATTACGTCATTACGACGTCACAGTGACGTACCGGTACCGTACCGGTAATAGAGCCCTTCAAACTATACGAACTGCCATCCAAGAGGGCCCTACTAAAAAGGTACCTAGGTATCATAGGTATCACTCACTAAAAAGGTAGGTATCCGTAGTAAATGACTAAAAAGGTAGGTATCAGTAGTAGATGACTAAAAAGGTAGGTATCAGTCTGTCAGTAGTAAATGACTAAGCGGACATCGGAACGTAACATGGGTAACAGGTTAGGGTTAGGCGATAATTTTTTTCCAATTTTCCTTATTTTAGTCCTATTATCAGTTCTAAGACTAGCCAAGGGCCTCCCATAGTATTTATACCTAAAATTATGGCCTAACCCTAACCTAGTACACATATTACATTCCGATGTCCGCCATCTTGGTTCGCATACTTCGGGAGCCCTCTTTTTAGTCATCTACTACTGATACCTACCTTTTTAGTTATTTACTACTGATACCTACCTTTTTAGTCATCTACTACTGCTACCTACCTTTTTAGTTATTTACTACTGATACCTACCTTTTTAGTCATCTACTACTGATACCTGCCTTTTTAGTCATTTACTACTGATACCTATCTTTTTATGGAGTGATACCTGTGATACCTACCTTTTTAGTAGGGTCCATCCAAGACGCGCAAACGACCATCCGAAATCGAACAGTTAATTCTCCCGTTTTCTCGTCGCAACGATTCTGATAGGAAAGAGATCGATAACGTCAGTCAGTTCTTTATCGCCGGCGCGTAGGTAGACTATGCCATTTCGGTCGATCGTGCGTATATTTGGCAAGCTCTATGACGTGATTGTGATGTCGTAGTGACGTAATTTTTGGATGGCGTAGTCAGATAGGGGTAATGATTGACATATCAAAAAATTGTTATGCTACGCCCACTAGAAGTACGTTAGGTACGAAACTACACGAGACCCCGAAACCACACTATCCTGTTCATAATCCAGCTATCCGGAAGAGCATTCAATAATACAGCAATAGTCTGAATAGTACGGTACAGGTACCTGTGCTACTTTTTAAATCACAAGACAGTTGCAAAAAATATTCCCTCATAAAGTTCCTTCAAAATCGTACCATAATTTACCACTCCAGATGATGCAATTGACGTGTTGGCTGGTTGGTCACCCTATACCCTTGCTTCAATGTATTACTAAGCATATCACTCTTCCTATAACCTGATAACAGTATGCTGGTATGAGATGAGCTCAACCCAGTGGACTCTTTTTTGAACTTTTCACATTCCGACAGTCGTCGTGTAGCCTATTTCTTATGGTATTGTTTAGGTGACACATGTGCGCCTGTGCATGTAATGACTTGAAAGGCAACTAGTCTATAATACGCTGAAAAAAAATTACCTCAACACTTTATAAGTTATTTTTTAGCTGGTACTTCAAATGGCTTAACTGTTACAATTCATTAAAGAAATTATCTATTACATTTTAACGAACCAATATTATTTGCAAACTTCTACTTTGTTCCCAAATGAACGAGTTGCTATAATCTGGTATTGGGATTTTGTTTTGTTATATAATTTTTTGTTTGTAATTTATTTTCATTTTGATCTTGCAGGTATTACTGCAGATATTTATTCTCATACGAATAAACATGGATGATCAGAACCGTGCTAGGAGATTGAAAGTTATATCCGGCCACTTGGCACAAAAACATAACGATCTTATAAAAGTCAAATGTGCAGAGTTGAAGCAACATGACGTTAAACCGGGTACAAGAACCATTCCAAAATCCCGAGAAGACATTTTGAAATGGAATGGCTGGGGTTATAAAGATACTACATTCATGGAGAATGAGGATGGGCAAATGGAATTCACAGGTTCCCATTATAAACTTAGTGGACTCGTTTTACCCCATTTCAGAAGTTGGATGGAAAAAAATATGGGCATTGAATTAGCTCATGTTGTTCCAAGTGTTCCAAATATTGACCCTTCCAAAGTTCCTCAGCCAACTTTGAATGACACATTCTTAGATGAAATGGAAAAGTTGGGAGTTGATTACTCAAATAATCCTACAGATAGAGTAATGAGATCACATGGTCATACTGTTGAAGAAATTTTCAAATTGCGTGATGGAAGACTCGAGGATAGAATTCCAGATGTTGTAATATGGCCCAAGTCTCATAATCATGTTGTTCAAGTTGTAGAGTCTGCTTCGAAGCATAATGTATGCTTGATGCCAGTAGGTGGTGGTACTAGTGTCACATATTCATTACGCTGCCCAGCTGATGAAAAAAGGTGCATTGTTGCAGTTGATATGACACAGATGAGCAAGATTCTATGGGTTGATGAAAAAAATCTTTTGGCTCGAGTTGAGGCAGGAATCGTGGGCCAAGATTTGGAGAGAGATCTGAATGCTATTGGGCTCTGTACAGGCCATGAACCCGATTCAATGGAATTCAGCACCCTTGGTGGATGGGTAGCAACAAGAGCATCTGGCATGCGGAAAAATGTTTATGGCAACATCGAAGACTTGGTAGTGCATGTTCGCATGGTCACTCCCCGCGGAGTAGTTGAACGCAACTGTATGGTTCCTCGTATGTCTGCTGGTCCAGATTTTCATCATCTCATTCTTGGTTCTGAAGGTACTATGGGAATCATTACAGAAGTTACTCTCAGGGTTCGTCCCATTCCCAAATGTCAAAAATATGGCTCAATTGTGTTCCCAGATTTTAAGAGTGGTGTTGAATGTCTAAGAGAGGTAGCTCTTAACAGATGTGCTCCTGCATCAATTCGGCTAATGGATAATGCTCAATTTCAGTTTGGTCAAGCATTGAAGCCTGAAGTTGCAGGGATGTTCACATCCTTCATAGATGGCCTAAAGAAGTTTTATGTTACGAAGGTGAAGGGATATGATCCCAACAAAATGTGTGTTGCTACTTTATTGTTCGAAGGTGATCCTGCTGTAGTGGCTCAACAAGAAAAAGCAGTTTTTGAAATTGCTGCCAAGCACCAAGGTATGCCTGCTGGAGAAGACAATGGCCAGCGAGGATATATGCTTACATTTGTGATTGCTTATTTGCGAGACTCTGGCTTGGAATATGAGGTTCTTGGAGAGTCGTTTGAAACCTCGGTGCCATGGGATAGAGTCATCGATTTATGCAGAAACGTTAAAGAAAGAATTCATCAAGAGTGCGTTAGTCATGGAATCAAGTATCCTCCTCTCAGTACGTGCCGAGTAACGCAAACATATGATGCTGGAGCGTGCATATATTTCTACTTTGCCTTCAGATATAGAGGCTTAACCGACCCACTACATGTGTATGATGACATAGAAAATGCTGCAAGGGATGAAATACTTGCCAATGGTGGAAGTGTATCACATCATCATGGTATAGGAAAGATTCGAAAACAGTACATGTCTCGTACTGCAACACCTGCATCACTGGGAAGTATATCATCAGTTAAAAATTATCTCGACCCAGATAATATCTTCGGCAATCAAAATTTATTGTGATCATTTTATATCATCACAAACTTCAATTCTTCAATGAAATTTTGTTCTTTATTTAATCTTTGTTTTAATCATGAACTAAAGTTGAATTTATCAAAATTTAGCGTTATACCCAATTTAATAGTCCTTGGTAAACTTTACAATGACTTTATACTATTTTGCTAATCGTTTAACATAAATTTTGAAATTGTGTTCTAATACTGGTTACGTTTTGAATGTATTACCGTAGTTTTTTTCTTAAGAAATGTTTTCTGCTTTAATTAAGGTATGGAAACTGTCTACCTGAATACAAACCATGTTTGTATTTATGTTCCCGATCATTAATCTGAACTCTATTAATAAACAGTAGTTATTATGCAACTTTTCATTAAATGTTTGCGATTTTTAATTTAGATGAAAGTGTGCCTATTTGGTTAACTCTTATGTGGTCAAAATCAAACAAAAGATTTCTGCACACTTCAGCATTTTGTACAAATATGTACTCAAGATTAATTAGGAGAATCATGCGCCATCATGTATTGTGCACAATCTTTTATAATGTCTGATTTGAAAATGCTTTCAAATCTAACTCGATGATGGCATAGTTAGTTAACAAAATATTTATAGAACCTTGTCTCAAATGGAGTTATTCTCTTTGACAGCATACTGTAAGTAATGTACTTATTTACTATGCAATTGCGCATTCCTGTTTATCAAATTTTCACAATTAATTTTTAACATGTAATTAAATCACTGAAAAAGCCGTGGCTGTGTATAATATCTGGTAATAGCTGAAAGTCTTTAGATCAGTTGTCTTATGTCTATATAGTGGAGTTTGTTCTATTTCATAATATTCCATAGAAGAGCCTGTTAATTACCATTGCTTTACACTTGTGTTCAAGGGCGGACACCCGGGGCCCCGCTAATAATTTCGTCTATATTTAACACATGTTTATTCCTCCTTACAAAATTATCAGTTCCGAAATTTGCGATAGTCTAGCGCGAACAAACTGTTAATAGTTACCGATCTTATAACCGTTTTATTACAATAATGTAAACGAAAGCGCCTTCCGACCACTTAACATTATTGTGAAACATGCGCGGGCGCACAGGTAATGCGTCGTCTTCAGAGTTCACCCACGCCCCCGAACACGCGCCTCGGTTTTGCTCGTCCTTTCCCGCTCCACGTTGCGGCCTTATTATTATCACAGGTGTTATCACTTATTCACAAGAAATTTCACCGCATATAAATAATTCCACCGCTGGACGTATCTTTTCATATTATGAATTTCGTGCAATGCAAGGCTCGAGCCTAATTTGATGGCAAAGATCATAGCATTCACTATGTCGAAACGCTTATTCGACTTTTCACACCGCAGTGCCATCCAAAAAGGTTTTATTAAATTTCATTACAGCAGTGTTTGAATTATCACGAGTTTTGCCAGATTACTGACGCAATTACCGATCGCAAGGGTGGGCAAAATAGACTATTTCTTTCAAATCGAATAATTCGAGTATTTGTAACGAATTGTCGAATATCGGGTATTTTCAATATATATACAACAGACATCCATAACGCTGGACATTTTGCTGTTGGTGAACTACATCTCCTCAAGTCCTCTTATTTTTACAAGGACCAAGACTTACGCAACGGTGAACGTGGTTTTATATTGCTGCGTGAACTATGCGTTCATTCATATCGGCGACATATGTTGAAGACGGCATCAAGGAGTGAATTCGGGATTTTATTCCGGTTTTTATCTTCTGAGCCGACCCTAATCTTTCTCCTCACCGTTTGCAAATTAACTGTACTAAATTTTTGGTAAACAATGCTATCATTTCTGTCACCGGAATGCGTATATTTGTAAGGACGACAGTTGACCTTCTTATGTTTTACTTTTCTATTGTGCCCGTCTATTTTTGTATTATATTAAATAAAAATCCTGTAAAGTCATTGTATGAATCCTGAATGTTATTTTGAGTTCATATGACGATTTAATAAATCGGCAATAATGGCAATTCTAGTAATAAAATAATAATTCGTTGATGAAAGGAAATTTTCGCACACCTTGTTTGACATTTCTAATTTTACAAAACGAAGTTAGTGCGCTTTATGCAAAACTAAGAATTGAAACAATGCGGAAATACGACTCCTCAAATTTGTCGTTTCTGTTTCTTAGCAAGAGCCTTTAGATAATTGAATTAGTGACGTGCAAGTTCCGTATCCAAGCAAAGCGGCATTGTTCCCCGGATATGAGTAGTGAAATGATATTATAATACTTAAGACGGATGAACTGAAGAATCTCCTCCCCAAGTTAGAGCAACTGTAGAGTCTCCATCCCGACTAAGACCATCCAACCCTACCAAATAATTAGTCAAGGTCAAATGAAGGATCAACTGGTATTCATTAGGTCAACTTGTATTATCGTCTTAGGCGGGTTGGAGGAGGGGGATATTCTTCAGTTGGGAAACGCTATCAACAATCCAACATTTATGAAAACGTAACACAGAATTAATACACAAGTATGTTGGCCCATCGTTGTCAAGAGTAAAATTTAAAATGAATCTAAAAAACTGAAAACAAAAATAATAAAACATTTTTTGTAAAAAAACAAAAAGAAAAACGGATTAAAAATACAAAAAAAATCGCGATTGGAATGAAGAAAAAGAAAGGTTGAGCGTTTTGATTTTAAAAAATTTTGCTCCTGTTCGGGACCAACGTTGTCAACCTTTTTTTTATTTTCCCTTTAAATTGCGTTTTTTTATTCTTATTTTTTTTTTCGTTTTTTCTATATTTTATTACTGTTTCCACAATTTTTTATTATTTTGTTTCCTTTCTTCAGATTTTACCTTGTTTTTTAATTTTTTTTTTCTAATTTTACGCGTGACAGCGATAGGCCACCATACACGAGAGACTGTGTAAGACAAATACAGGAAATGCAGTAATCGATTCAAAAACAATAGTTCCATGTAGGCTTGCACGTAATTTACGGATTTACGGAATTACGTAATTATTTGGAGTTACGGAAGGGAAGTTACGAATTACGTAAAGTCGTAATTACTGCATTGAAACGAGCTTTCTTCAAAGCAGTCAATTTCGTCGATTGCGAAAAATGGAAGCTCAACAAGTAGAAGAGAGTTCCGGTATTCGCAGCCGTTTTTCTCTCTCTTGTTACGTAGGTGAAGGAAGGCATGACGCGTTGCCATTTACTAACCTATTATCAACTTCTCTGGCATGGCCAATGTAAATTATTAACGTAGTTAAGGGGGAAGAACTGAGTAGGGCCGTTTGACGCCAACACACCTGGTTTTAACTTCTCCCGTAACTTAACCGTAGATAAGGGATAGAATTGCGTTGAGACCGATTGATGCCAACACACCTGGTTTCAACTTCTCTCGCTTCTTATCTAGCATGACCATGGCCAATGTACATAATAACCGTAGATAGGGGGAAGAATTGTGTTGAGATCGATGGACGCTAACACGCCCGGTTTCAACTTCTTCGGGTGAAATGACTAAGGAACACAGGAGATCAATCTTTCAAACATGGTCTATCAAACATTTGTATTCATTTTACTTTTATTTATTATTTACTTGTTCCAGTTTTCCGATACTTGTGGTATATAATATATATGTTCCGTTTCTATTTTATAGTCACGCGTTTAAATAGTGGGAGTTCCCCAACAAGTGTGGATTAGCAATGCTTAACCACTCGTTATTGTTAATATCAACACTTAATATATGAACATGGAATATCATACTGTTTTTGGCAGTTTTATTTCAGACTTGGGGTATAAACAGGAAAATATCCATAACCTTTCAACACGACGATCTTGTGAAATTTAACGAAGAGCTTTCGCGACGAATTGGAACCAAATAAGCGAAAAGAGCGATTGATCACTCGCACCAATACCTCGCCGTGATAATTAATGTCGCGCTTATCAAATAGCAATATGACGACAAAAGAGAGATTGCGTAATGAACCAACGCAACTTCGTCTCCTCGGCATCGGTAAAGCGATTGAGACGGCAGAGAAACAGCAAAACGACGGATTCCTCGCGGACCGCTAAAAATTTAACCGCTATCATATATAATCAAATATGAGCCAGTGTGTTTATTCTGTGCGAGATCCATTTTCTATTACAAAATCTTATGTTTTCTGTTAACGGTTTTATCGTTATATATCAGTCCGGACTTGGCCCTGCTCATGATGTTTTTCACAATTCCTCTCAATATTTCGGCCGTATATGATTAACTGTCTTACCAAATGCGGCAACTTATTTTGATTTATCGTCGACTTGAATACCACCGGCACTCGACCAAACTTGTGTCAATCTTGGCCGATAGGATCGCCGACTTGAGTTAGCAAATAAATGTCGTGAGTGTAAAATAAATGTCACAAAATGCATTGTTTTGCGATATAACTTTGTATTTTCGGAGAAGGCATATCATATAAGTTCCATATTTAAATTATACTCAAATAAATAATATTTGATCTAAATTTATCGCAAATAATGTTATAAACATTCAGTCCGCGAAATGATTAAATGTAAAATGAAGCATGGTAATCGGAATATCGTCAATAAGTCGACATCAATAATTATTATTATAAAATGCTAACAAGGCAGTAATGTCGGATAATGCAGAAGACGCTGCAAAAACAAGTCTTCGTCGCGAGGAAATCGCAAGTATAATCAAACGAGAGAATACGCTCGTCGTTAGTTAATAAATTAGAAACCCGTAATTTTTATTCAGCACTAAGGTGGTTTTAAAAACTATCGTTTCCATAAATATCCGTATACCAGTGTCGGTATTGATAAAATAAAATTGATCGCATAAAAATGGGACGGTTAATTTGCGAAGGTGATAAATGAAAACCAAAGCCAACACAAAATATAAAAATCAGAATAAAATTAATTTGAATTCACTCCTTGATATTTGTCTTTAACATCTGCCGACGGCGTGTAGTACTGCCAAGAATATGAAAACCCAACTTCAATGTCCCATTCGGAAAAGAAGTGGATTTAATTGGTTGTTATGATAGGTTTAAATGCGTGGAAAAATATCGCAATTACGGGGTCATTACGTAATTGATTTTGCCGTAATTACGGAATTGATTTTTGTCAATTACGTGCAAGCCTAGTTCCATGTAATATCATTTGCTATGAGATAGAGGTTTTCTGTATTCGACATCTGCAAATCCACAATTGTTCAATTCAAATTCCTTTCAATTGTTCAATTCGAACTGTTTAAATGGAAAAAAAGTTGATATTTTTTATTGACCGTGTTTTCAATATCGATGCTAATTCGTTCAGCTTCGTGATGCATATAGTTGTTTAAAACATGTAGTGGACAACTTACTACAATCAACGAGGTGTTTAACTTAATTTCTCAAAAAATTGCTACCATGTTTAAGCCCCGATCCCCCAAACATTGTATTATAGTTATCAGTTATCACCACGACCTTTTTGAAATAGCTCTTTTTTCTAGAGTGACTTGTACGTATTCACCAAATGTATCAGCAGTTTCATTGGGCTTGTTCGTAAATTTTGTAAAAAAAGTTTTGTAAAAAGTACGTGGAAAAGATTTGCTCTCTCGATTCCGTAATCAGTTTCATTTGTTTGATTTTTATCAATTTTTCCTATCGTCTGTTATCTACTGATTACGGACTCAAAATAAATTTGACTGTACACCTCTGTTCTTCCAGTCAAAATATCAAACAAGTCGTGGAAACAACTTTAATTCATCATGATTGCTACCGTCTG